CTCTTCCTTTTTTTCAAAAGGAGAGTCATCAAAGGTTGGTTGTTTCCAAGTTTCATTATCTTTTTTAGGATAAAGTTTGTAGGAATATTCTAATGCTTATTTAAAGATATTAGAAGAGTCATGCTGTTTTTCAGTATGGAGTATGCATTCTTCATTATTGCATATTAAGATATAAAAGTTAGCATATCTAATACTTTCATCTCTTCTTTCTTGGAATATTTGTAGTTCTGATATTTTATATTTTTGAGGTAAAAGTTTTGTTAGTTGAGAAATAAATTGTTATCAGAATTGGTATTTTAAGGCATTATAAACTTTTGTTTTGTTTAAAGGCTCATTAAATTGATAGTTATAAGTTTTGAAGAATCCTTCAAACTAATTGTTAAAATGCTCCAGTGAGTTTTTAAGTGAAAAGATATTATATTTGTCAAGGAAAAGTATTTTAGGTAAGTTAAAAAGAAGTTAATATAAAACTTTCTATTGTAAGATAAGGTTCTTTTTTGTCTACACTAACAGTAGATGAAGAAACTACAAATCTTTTAGGTCTAAGTTGAAAATCTTTAGTAAATTTTATATAGTTAATTGTTTGGTATTCATAACTGTTGTCAAGGTATAAATGGATCCTTGCTATATTGTGACAGAGATAAATATAGTTTTTGTTCATATATGGTAGAATAGTTAATGATGATACAAATATTTCAGCATAATTCATTTTGGTGAAGAGAATTGTAGTGAATTTGTGGATTAGTTTTTTGAGTGTTGATTCCAGTATTTCAAAAAGAATTGTAGCTTCTTTACTAATTGTTGGATTTGAGATATAAATCAAATCAGTTAAAAATTTAGGATATTGACTAGCTATAGTTTGAATTATATAATAAAAACTAGCTTTAAGAGCTTTTTGGTTTGCTATTGCTAGTTTGATTTCTTTGCCTATAGTAAAGTTATATAAATAGTTTTTGAAAAATTCAAAAACTTGAAATAATAAAGGAGTTTCAAGTTTTTTAATTTTTTTCATTTCCTCAGTAATAGAAAAATATTTAAACTAATCAAAAAGTGCTTTAGGTTGGTTTGTTTGGGTTTGAAAATTTTCTGTTAAGTTATTAGTTAATATATCATTTAGTTCCTTGTTATTTTCTTTAGAAAAAGAAATGAGATTATTTGGATATTATAAAGAATTATCAATATTCATGTTTAAAGAGGAGTTTTCAGTAGGAGTTTCAGTAGTTTGAATAGTTTGTTGAGTAGTTAGTGATAGTAGTGGTGTATTAGTATGAGTTAGTGAGAGAGTTTTAGAAAATAAATTTAGTTGTTCAGTTTTAGTAATTAAAGGAGTATCAATTTCCATGTTTAAGGAAATATTATTTTTAGGAATAGATACTGTTAGAGTGAGTAGTTTAATTTCTGGTAGAGTAGTAAATGAAACTATTATTGCGATATTAGAAATAGTAAGAAGTTTTGTTTAGTTCTGTTAGAATTTTTTAAAAGATTTTTTCTAGTAGAAGTATAATCCATTAAAGAGGTTGAAGATGTTGCATAGACACTAGTTGTTATTGAAGTTTCAGCAACTTCAGGTGTTAAACAAGTATAATAAAAGTATTATTATTTGAAAAGTTGCATCATTGCTAAGCTTATATTAATTATTTGTAACTTTGCAAGAAATTAGTTGTTAGTATTTTTGACAAGAATATTAATAAGTAACTGGAGTAGATGAAAGAGAAATATTATCAGTTAATGTAGCAATGCTTTGTAGTATTTTTTGAGTATATTTGTTTTTGGTATTAGTAATGAAAGGAATAAAGTCAGTATGAACTGGCTTAAAAAGTTTGTTGCTAGTAGTAATAAATTTGATATGGTATTTATTACAAAGACAGAAAGTGGTAGCAGTAGTTGGAAGAGCTTTAATAAAGTAAGTAACTTTGTTATCACTTTGGAGAATTTTAGTAATACAAGCTAAAGTTGTACTTTTTGCAAGAATTGGGTATGGAGTAGTTAAACTTTCTTTAAGAAAAGCAATACTAAAGCTACTAGGGTATTTGGTATAGAAGAAGTCTAAGTTAATAGTATCTAGTTCAGTTAAGGTTAAAGTAGGCATTTTGTAGGTATTAGTTTATTATTAGAAAAGAATATTCTAATAGTTTTAGATTTTAATTATCTTTTGCAAAAGAAATGAATAAAAACAGATCAAAATTGGTCGAGGAATTAAGATTTCTGAAAAAGCCAATGAATTTTTCAGATAACCAGTAAAATTTCCAGGTCTAGTGAGCAGAATCTTGTGATCTGGGGTTGAGAAAATAAGTGAAAAATTCGGAGCAAGCCAGTAAATTTTCCGAAATTGCCACAGATAAATTCTAATTGATCTATAAGAAGTTAAAAAGCTTTTAAACAGGTTTTTGGTAATAATTCAGTGAGTTTTAACCCGTTTTTGATAAAATTTATATCAAAATTAAGCTCTGACTTAGAAGAATCTAACTCTTTTAATGAACAAGAGTTGTTATATTAGTAAAATTTTAAAATATTTAAGTAAATAAGA